CCGCCCTCCCAGACAAGGCCGCGCCAGGCCCCGCCCCCGCCTCAGCCAGCTCCTAAAATGGAGGCGCAGCCTTCGCAGGGAGCACGGCCGCGGCCTCGCCGGCTCCTTATCGCTGCCCAGCCTCGGCACGGCCTTCTGGCGCTGGAGACAGGTCTGTTTTCTCGCCGTGTAAACTAGCACCGCGCACGCAGCACCCCGCCCCAGCCCTTCACCCTGCAGCCCAAAGCCTGCCCGGGGCCCTGTGCAGCTCTGCACCTCAGCAACACTGCCTGGAGTCTCCTCAAGAAACCTCACAACTGTCCCTGCATATCAGTAAAACCAGTCTAACCCACAACCCTCAGTGAGCTTTTCAAGTCTTCTCCAGCTGCAGGGAAGTCAACATTTGTCAGGCTACTAGAGAAACACAGTGATGAGTGGGAGATCATCCCTGAGCCCATCGCCAAGTGGTGTAACATCCAGACAGCTGAAGAAGAATGCAAGGTAAGGTGTGCTGGCTTCAGGGGGACATGGGGCACAGAAGAACCTGCGGTGACTGGCCAGGGAGCCATGCCAAAATTCAGCTATGCTGAGTCTAGAGCATCCAGGGGCATCCCCACTATCACATCAGTGGGTCAAATAATCAGAAATTGTAAGGGCTACTTAGGAAGATACCACTGAATGCATACTCCAAATAACCACTCGTACTCCACAAGAACACAAAAAACATCAAACTCTGTGATCAACCTATTCTAAAGAAATAGAAAACAAGAAACATCTCTTTATGCCTAAGCATTAAAAAAAAAAACAAGGCTATGAATTCTTACTTCAACATATCAGAATTCTGGATTAAGGCATAAAATCCTGCAAATATGCTGGTATTAAGTTTTCTCTTTTGTCCCCTAGGAACTTTCAACATCTCAGAAGAGTGGAGGAAATCTACTTGAAATGCTGTATGATAAACCCACCAGATGGGCTTACACATTTCAGACTTACGCTTGCTTGAGTCGAGTAAAAGCACAACTGAAACCCATCTCGGCCAAGCTACAGGAAGCAGAACACCCAGTGCAATTTTTTGAGAGATCTGTATACAGTGACAGGTAAGTACTCTCACAGTGCAACAAGAGTTCAGACTGAAAGCTCCAGGTCTTTATGCTCAAAGACATGGAGCCAGGGACACCTGATATTAAACTAGTATTGCAAGAAGCAGGTTCAAAATTCAACAGGTGAGAGCTGGATGGCACTAAGAGTACCTTATGGATTAAGAGTGGGCAGCTGTTTTTTCAGTACCATGATCTGATTTTAGTGAGACTGTTTTAGTACTTTGCTTTGGTCATTCCTGGCACAAGACTACGTCTTTCTTTGCAGATATGTATTTGCTTCTAACCTGTTCGAGTCTGGAAACATTAATGAGACAGAGTGGGCTATTTATCAGGACTGGCACACATGGTTTTTGAGTCAGTTTGAATCAGAGATAGAACTGGATGGCATGATCTACCTAAGAACCACACCTCAGGTATGTTCACTAAGAATGAAAATACTTGAGCTCCAAAAAGCTTAAGAGGGTACAGAAACCTAAGCAATCATGATGGAATACTTCAGTGACTAACACTGAATTGGCTCCCCCCACCCCAAAGGTCATGGGAAGCCTATCAAAGTCAGATTTTAGAGACCAAATTAAAAACTCCCCCTTCTGATGGTAGCAAATGCTACAGTCAGTAGCATCTACCACTCAGATTAAGGATCCACACCTGAAATTCAATTTTATGAATCAAGTTTCACTTCCCTTCTCATACAATCCTGAACAGAAGATAATCTTTTAGTAAGAACTAGTGACATGTAGCTAAAGTGGCTCAAGTTTGGGGCTTTTTTTTAAGTTATGCAATTAAAGTTAACGCTAATGTCTAGCATTAGTCCTTCTGATTTAAGGACCACTTGATCTGTTTATAGCTGACTTACCCTTCCACACATGATTAATGACCAGGCTTGTATTTTTATTCACCCCCTCCCCCCCTCAAGAAATGCATGGAAAGGCTACAGTTGAGGGGAAGAAAAGAGGAGCAAGGAATTGAGCTTGAGTATTTGGAAAACATCCACTATAAACACGAAACCTGGCTTCATGAGAGGACTGTAAGGTATGGAACAATTTTTTGCAAGCAAGTTTCAACTTACAAGCAAGACTCTTCTCTACCTTAGGCTAAAGTTGACTGGGGATAAAACTAAGGTTTAAGTTTAGCTTCACTCAGGCACAGTTGGAAGGATTTATCTTTAGACTTGCTCCAGGTTTCTTGGCACAGAGATGATTAGTCTAGGTTATATACAGAGGGAAGGTCATATGTTGGTGCTGGCAGGGGAGTAAAAACTGCCAAGAGATGGAACTTCATCTCATTTAAAGCCTTTGTTAAACATTATCTTCAACTAGAAAACTGTAGCTTTAACTCTAGCAAGGATATGAATTTTGTTAACTGAAATCACAGAGGAATAGGACAGAGTTAAGATGGTGTTTGGGTAGCCAACCACAGAAGTTACCTAATAAGCAGCTTCCAGTTCCAATGTAAGGGCAGGCAAGGTCCCAGCTACCCTTAAGTTAGGATGACTATTTCAACAAGGCTTAAATATTAATCCCAGATTCAAAATAAACAATAATCAGGCTTTTGGCAGGTACTACTACACACAAGAAACGCATTCAGTGGCTAAGTGATGTCTGTATACCTTCACCCTCTAACTTCCTTCCCATGTAAGTGATCTCTAAATGTGAAAGCAACTTTAGATTATCCCCTAGGGGAGCCTGAAATACTCTACCAAATGGGAAGCATAACAATTCCAGGAAAAGTACATTATCAGTAACATCTTTCTTAAGTTTCATGTAGAATGATCCAAATGCTGAGGAGACAGAAGGCACTGAATATTTGGGAATTTAGGGAATGTTTACACTGTGTACTCATTCCAAACTTATGAGCAAGCATTTCCTGTATTTTTCATAAGAATGTTTAAGTCTGCAAACAAGTTAGAATGTTGTTCAGCACACTTACTGCATTTAGAAATGCTTTTCACACATAAGAGAGAATTATTGCTTCAAGAGAACAATACCTCCAGTCACACAACTACTTTTCTTGTCTATTCCTAACCTGTAGCCAATATGGTCTTGCTTATCTCTGAGCCATTTTAAATACCAGTCTTATAACCTGTTAAAGAGGTCATCCCCACCAAAGGAAGCTTTAAAACTGCATCTTAGTAAATGGATTAGCAGTTAACTACAAAGGGGTGGGGGAGACAGAGGGCAAGTAGTATTTTTTTTAAATACTACCTCTTACTAAAAATCACATTCCTGATAATTGATTCCCTACCAAAAAGAATGAAGAGCAAGGGGCAAATTACCTTCCCCTCCTGCTTGTACAACAAAAATACATATTAGAAGGCCAGAATTGTGAAATACATTAAAGTTATGGTGATACAATGTCAACTGGGTTATACAAGACCAACTAAGGACAGACTTGACTTGGGCTTCATGGGCATCAGCATTAACATCTCAGGTGCATGTGGTAATCTGAGTAATGCTGCATCTTTAGGATGACTTGGAAAGCAGCTGGAAGAGCTAAGTTGTTTCATACATAGTACTTCATACCTTTTTTACTAGCATGGTGTTCTTCTACTTAACAGAGTTGACTTTGAGAACCTTAAAGAAATTCCCATTCTAGTTTTGGATGTTAATGAAGACTTTCAGAATGATAAGATTAAACAGGAATACCTGATTGATAACGTAAGTATTAAATAGTTTCCTTTTGTCTGCTTTTCCTCTGCAGTAATAGCTGTAAGTTACACATTCACATTCTTAAAAGTAGTATCAACTCAGAATTTAGCAGTTATTAAGTAGCTATTTGGGGCCAGTATGGTCAGTCTCCTTCATACAGACTTAAGAAGATGCCTGACTGCAGAAAAGGCTTTTTGCTTTCCTTCACAAAATCATTTAATCCCCCCTCATTATCATCACAATTCAAGGGAAAACTAGGTGGTTTTTAAGAGAGGCAATTGTGCCCATGCCAGTACACAGCAGCTAGAGCAGACTACTCTGCACAGCCCTGCTGGGCACTGAACAGTTCACATCAGCTGCGTTGTCTTCAGAAAAATCCTAGTGTCAGCTCAGAACTACTTATGCCCCCTTCCTGGGCAGAGCACAACACACCTGACAAACACAGAGATGACTGAACCTTGTACATAGTTCTAAATGCACAAAGTGACACAACTAGAGCTGGGAGGGAGAGGCAACAGCCATTTGAGGAAACAAGGTGATAATAAATAGGTCACTTGAGTCAAAGTGGTGGTTGCTAATTCCAAGGAAAGGCAAAGTTAGGAAGTAAATGCCCAAAGAAACCCTTGTGCTGCAGCCACATGCTGTGTGCCCAGTTCACAAAAATGAACAAAAAACACCCAAAAACCTAATACTTAAATGGATGGGGCTTATCCCCAGCCTTCCAGAGTTGCCCCAGTAAGTAAAACAAGTAATGCTACACACTTAAACCTTTCTTTCCCCCACTGCCACAACCAGACTATTCTTATAAGATGGAAAAGTACTCTCCCCTCAAACCATTTTCTTCATCTTGTTCTGGGTCATCAGTTTGAGATTACTAAAGAATGACTCCTTCAAGCCAAGCCCAGTTCTCTCAGTTAAATAGTTCTACACAAGCTAGGGAGGGGAGCACATGTTCAGTTCTGGAGATATTTGTTGTTAACTTATATCCTCATGGAAACCAGCAGTGAGCAGCTTGGCATTATGAACCAGACTACACCTGTACATGCTTGCTTTGAACTTGCCCCACTAAAGGGCCCCCAGTGTTGTCTCCACCAAACTCCCTTCACCATCCAGGAGAAAAAAGTCAGCTCAGCTTTCAGCTTTGGGTAGGGGGTACTGCACCACGCTCAAAGGGCTATCAGATCTTTGGCTTAGTTCTCAGACAATCCCTTTCTTCCTAGGAAAGGGCTACCCTCATGAAGATAAATTTGTTTTTCTTTAATGAGTATTTTCTAAAGCATTCCAGAAGCTACCTTTCATAAGTACTTGCAATTTTTGAGTAATTAAGTTACTTAATTCTGCCCAGCACTTAAAAATCTTGGGTTAACAGCCATCTGCTCTACTGAAAGCATCCCAGGTCATGAATTGTATGTAGAGGCAGAACAGCACTGGAGACTGTACAGTCACAAATTATTTGTTCCCCATAAAAGAAAGGGAAAAGCCCAATTTGGCTTTTAGTTTTATGCATAATGTATGTGCTTCTTGTTTTCACAGGTCAAATCTTTTCTGACTTCCTAGGAACATGAAAATTTGAATGACAAGTCCCTGAAGTTCGAGAGTTAAACCTAACAGTGTGTTCTGAGGCAGTTTAACTGAACCCGTATAGCTTGTTACGGCAAGACTGAAGAGCAAAATATGTTTTGGTGTTTTTTGCTTGTCCGACCTGTGTGGGTTTTGGTGTAATCTTCTGTATAGTTAAACCAAACAAATACTGGGTGCTTTGATAATGTATTTTGTGTATATTTTCTGTTGCTTTAATAAAGATTTTTAAACTGACTAATAAGTGGCTTGAACAACAAAGAGTTAACTCGTTATCGGGGCTGACAACCCAGTAAACAGAGATAGCAGCCGCTGGGGCAGGGTTGTTTTGCAATAACTGGCACAGTTCACCATTTTAAGACAAGACTGTTATGGCGTCCAGAAACCTTTTACTTTCAACTTCTGTTTTATTGAGTGGCTGTTTTCACAGGATTTATGCTACTTAAGGCTGGACGTTACTGTAGCCGCAAGGGTTACACCTGCAATAAACTGTAATTTCAGGATATCTTGTTTACAGATTCCCCCCTCTCCACCCAAAACACAGT